TGATAATATTTGCCTTGAGCCAATAATATCATTCTCATGTGATTTATTTTATATGTGAAAAATTTAAAAATTTCCGTGTTCCTGTTAGCCAGGTTAGTGTTCATAAAGGCCGGGTCGGGTTAGTCACGGATGTATTGCAATTTACCGAACGCGGGACAGTGCTCGTCGACGGACGTTCAAAACCAGTAGGAAATTTTCGATTATTTTATGCACTATAATCTAAATATTTATTAACAATAAATATTTACGGTTTAACATCATATTATTCGTACCAATTTATCTTGTAAGAATATTTATTAATCCAAGATTTACATATATTGAAATATTCAATTTTATGAACATTTACTATTCAACTTCATTTGCATTAATATAGATTTCATTTAATTTGCCGTAGTATGTATAGGAAAATACCAGAATATTTCAGATATAAGTGTATTTATATACAGCGATTCGACTTGGTCGACTTCAAATATCAACTTAGTTGAGTCGATAAATTTATGTCAACTACAAACACTAAATAAATTCTTTTTATTTAAAAATAATATATTCCAAATTTAATTTACAATTAAATCTAATATACATTGTTTAAATAATATATATTATATTATTATAAATATTAAAAAAGAACTATAGTCCGTTTGCCACTAAGTAGTAAAAAGATATACTATTATAAACTTTTATATTTTAGCAAATTCTCCTGAGCCTATATTAATCAATATTAACAATCAAACATTTGTAATAATTTTTTTTTAAAAAATAGACATATTATTTAAATATAATATATATTACCTCTGATAATGATTTATAAGATAATATAGGTAATCTTGTTTCATCTTGTGTAATGATTTCGTACCTAATTGGAGATTCCTAATAATAATAATCCAGTAAACGTAGTAAACAGAACATTTAATTTGTAAACATTCGGTTTATTCAAGAATATTAATAAATTACGAATGCAAATGCGCAATTAACACGGGCTAATACCTGAATTGGCGGACATAAATCTATTGGAAGATATCTTCCATGATTTTGAAAGAATAAATCTCTTTGCCGAGATTCATCTAAATCAATTTAATTAACAAATTAATGCAAAATAAATGTTTAAAAAAGTTTCGAATTCAAACCTAGGTATAATGCTTCTAATTTATTTGAATAATCTTCTAACAATTTTTCATGTTGCTCTTTAATTCTATGACGTCGGTCAATTTCTATTATCATGTGGTCATATGCCCTGGAAAATTCTTCATACCTATAAAATAAGTTTATTATTCATATGTATACATATATGGAACTTGTATAATGACACTTACACCATGTTAAGATTTAATAATTCATCTAGCAAACGATCCACTATCACATTACTCTTTTCAAAGTCAGCCTATAATAATAAAATCAAAATCAAAATAATTCATTTTTGTTATCAATTCTGTATTATTATTATATCCTTTCTTTCACAATAAACTTACTTCAAGTTCTTTAATTGTGTTTGAAAAACTCTCAAAACTACTTCCAAAATTATCCAATTCAGAAAATAATTTATTTGCTTCATCATAAGACGCACAATAAAAACGATTTATAGCACGAACTTCTTCACTAAAAATTTTAACTGAATCGAATTAACTCAAATAAAGAATTATATAAAATATTACAGTATTATGGCATACCTTAGTGATTCAATATATTGAAGCCCTTCCTGCAATTCTTGAACAATTGGTTGAAGTAGACCAGTATCTTTCTCAAGAACTATAAACAAAGTTTATAATTCAATATATAGAATTTATATATAAATATCATACACAAAGGGTACAAAATTTACCCGAAATATCAAGATTTAGGCTAGCATCAGCATGCAACTGACATGCTCTATTATAGAAATATAAAAAAATATCACTAAAAGAAATATAATTGAAAAAAGAGTATAGCCTTAAAATACAACTAACTTTAATGCAGCAGAAACTTGATCATAATTTCTTGCCAATGAAACCAAAGTCTCAGCCATAGAATTTGCCTCTTGTTCAAGAGCTATAAACTTTTCACGAGAAAGATCTATTCCAGATTTTTCAGGAGAAATACTATTATTTAAGATCATTTCATCTAATTGTTTCTGCTGAGTGTTTATTTGTTCAAGGATTTTGGAACTAGTAGTATGATATTGCTAAAAAAAAATAAACTAAAAATTAATAAATTATTTATTGATATAATATAAAAATTGTAAGTTATAATTTACCTGAATAGCAGATACTTCCTCTTGTGTTTTCACTTTCAAATCTTGAATACTTTGTTCTTCTACGTAATCATATAAATAAGCCTTTTCCCCGGAGTCTTTCTTATTTTTTAGATCAAACTCTATGCCTTTTTCCAAATCACCTAGAATATTACTATTATTTTCGCGAGCTATTGCTCGTTCTATTGCGATCGCATTTTCACGAATTGCAGGATCCACATGTTTATGACGTAAACTTTCTAAAGTATTATCGAGTTTATCGATTATAATAGATAATTCTTGTTCTTTATTCTGATAATGATAACAATAAGATATTTGGTTGTAAACGAATCAAAAGAAAAATCATAAATTTAATTAAAAGATTAGAGTAATTTATGATATTCTACTCACTGCATAAAATTCCTGTAAAATTCCGTTTTGCTTTGCAGCGATTTTTTTAAGTTTTTGAACAGTCTAAGAAAAAACATAAGGTAAGAATATTATTTCAAAAGTATATGTAGGATATAAAAAAATCAACTAATATAACAAATGTATATATACCTGAACTTGCACACCTAATTCACTCCATATGAACCGAAGTTTTGGATATATGATTTCAATGTTTTCAATGTCATTTCTACATTCTTTTACAAAAGTATCAGCTTTATGACATAGTTTTTCACCAACTTTTAATGCTTGTTGGGATAATGAAGTTAAATTTATTAACTTTGATTCCATTTTAAAATAATAAGAAAATGGTAAGAATTATTTTACGTGTCTAGATAATGAAAGAACATATAAA